GACAGAGCCACAGAGGACACCTAGAGATGGGAGGCTCCTATTTGGACAGCCTCTGGAGGTAGAAGGGCTCTGCTGGGGAGAGAGAGTCCTATCCCAGATAGGACTCCGGGATCATACAGATGCCACTGTCATTATCTGAGGGGGTGTCTTCCTCCTTTACACACCGAGGAATCATTGTAATGTAAGCAGTAGAGTCTGGCTTTCTATCTCCTTCAGAGATATCCACTTCATTGCCCAGCTCTAAACTAAAGGAATGATCTGCAGTAGAAGACAGGACCCCTGGGGATAGGGGGAGAGGTTGCAGGAAGGTGAAGGGGACACCTGATTGGTTTTTGTTAAACTTTCTGGGAGATGACCAATTGGGTTCACTGTTTGGGGAGTGGGGAGCTCCTTATTAGTCTCCTGGACTAGGGGAGCAAAGAGATCACATGTGTCATCCAATGTGGCCAAAAGCTCAGCTGGCATGGTTTCCAGGTCATCCATACCCAACAGGGCGTTGAAGTCAAACTCCTTCCGATCCATTTTCTCCAACATCCGATCTGTCCCAGAGAAGGCATCCTCCTTGTCATTGTTGGAAGCACTGACCAACCCATCCACACCCAACCATGGAGAGGAGCCCACCTTAGCCTTGTCACTGGAGAACCCACGAGGTTTGAAGGGCTTGGCCACTTCCAGGTAATCATTTAAGGTATTTAGGCATTCTTCAGCCCCCAAACCCGACTGGTCAAAGGGGGACATCAAGTCCCCCACCAACACCTTGCTGCTCAGGAAGCTCATCTCGGTCATGTTGTGGGGCTTTGCTGAAATCCGGGAATGTGCTTAATTCAAAAGTGTCTTTGTCGGTTACAGCAATGCTGCTGCTGGATGCTGTGAAAAGCGCCAGGGCATAAGCCGCTGTGGGTTGCTTCTGCAAGAACCTGGTGTTGCTGCCGCCTCTGCAAAGGCCAACGCTGCTGCGGGCACTACTCTAATAAGCCATAGTGGCTTATTAGGAGGGGAGGAGGGAAGGACGAATTGTGGAGAAACTGCGTCTATAGGTGGGTGCCGCAGAAATGCTGGGTTTTCTGTTTTTGTTTTTTTGAGACAGAGTCTCAAGCTGTCATCCTGGGTAGAGTGTAGTGGCATCACAGCTCACAGCAACTTCAAACTCTTGGGCTCCAGCAATTCTCTTGCCTCAGTCTCCCAAGTAGCTGGGACTACAGGCGCCCACCACAATGCCCAATGCCCGGCTATTTGTTGTTGTTGTTGTTGTTGTCATTGTTGTTTAGCAGGCCCAGGCCGGGTTCGAACCTGCCAGCCCCAGTGTATGTGGCCGACACCCTAACCACTGAGCTACAGGTGCCAAGCCAGAATTTTCTTCATAACAGAAATGCTTGAAAATTCTGGGCTATGTAATACAGCAGCACTGACCATATGTGGTTCTTGAACACTTGCAATGTGGCTACTGCAAGTGAAGAAGTGAACTTTTAAAATTTTCTTCAATTTTATCTAATTTACACTTAAATTTAAATAGCTACACTTGGCTAGTAGCTACCATGTTGTATAGCACTGTTCTAGACCTTGGACTATAGATCCCATAGAGCATTTTCACCTGAGAATGCTAGAGTCACAGATTGCTACAGTCAGAAGGTCTTAAAACCATACAACACTTAGACCTCAGTGCCTTGTACAGGAAGAGCCTTTCAATCTCATAAACAAACACTGTCCTATCCCCTTCATTTTATCTTTATCCCATAGACTAAAAAGGCCACGAATGTGATCCTCAGTGACCTGTGGGCCAACGACTACTTCAACATCATCTTCTTTTCTGACATGGTTAATATCTAGAAATCTCAAGGCTTAATCCAGGCTACTAACCAGAATACCCACAGTGCCATGGACTACTTGGGTCACATGGAAGCTGACGGTTATAAAGTATTGGACCTATGTACCCAAATGGGCATGGTGTGGTGATGTGGGAAACTCCTGAAACCATCTCTTCATTCCCCCATTCTCCTTACCTCTCACAGAACCTAAAATATCACCACTACATTTTATACAAAGAAGTCCCTCCATCCGGAGTTCCCTTCCTAATTCCCGTTCCTTGTGGAACAGGCAGAGCCGATTCCCCATGTATCTTAGCACACATTTCTCTTTGGAACTGAGTTTCTTCCTCTTTAAAGTAAAAATTCAGAAGAATTTCCTAAGAATTTTCAAAAATGAATAATCTACATATTTATTTCCAAGCATTTGACTAAGCTGCTGTGCCAGTTCTGGCTTTTGACCCATCCTCTCTCAGACAGAAGTCTCCCCCACCCACCACCTCCCATCGATTCAACCCTTTCTTCCCTTGTAGCAAGAATGTGTGGGTTCTATCCGTGAGTAGCTGCCAATTTGACTAGGGAATGAGACAGCCCTTCCCCCCACCCCAGAGAATAGGCAAAAAACAGTCTGAGACAGGGAATGATAAAAGCCGAGCACATGTGGGCTCAACTGTCAGATCTCAGGGAGCTTGGGTGGGTGTGGGGGAGTTGGGAAGAAGCAGCAGACACAGCCTGAGGAAAGATGAAGGGATATGACTGATCCTGGGAGGCCAACGAGGTGCCCAGTGTACCTGCAATAGAGGTAGACGTGACCAGAGAAGATGGTCTCACAATCTGCTCCCCAATTAGGGACCGATATCAATGCAGCTCTGCTGGAAGCTTCTTCGGTGCTGAACCATAGCAACCAGGACCCTGGGAGGGGCCCCAATGTGGGGAGGATCTCTCTTATCATCTTCCTGAAAGATGGGGAACCCGTGACTGGAGTGACAACCCTTAGCATTATCTTCTCCAACATCCATCAGGCTCTAGGCCACAGGGTATGCCTTTTCAGTTTAGCCTTTGGAGATGATGCTGTCTTCCCACTGCTGTGTTGCCTGTCTGTGGAGAATCATAGAGTATCCCGGTGCAAATAGGAGGGCCCTGATGCAGCCCTACAGCTTGAGGACCACTACAAGGAGATGTCCAGGCCTCTGCTGGCAGATGTGTGTCTGGCCTACCTGGGTGGCTTGGTTGGAGCCTCCTCTCGGGTCTTTTTCCCCAACGACTTTGCTAGCTCAGAGCTGGTGGTGGCAGGCCTGGTGTAGCCAGGTGAGCAGGATCTAGATATCCACCTGGCAGCCTGTGGCCCCAACAGTCAGCTTCTTGTGGCCCACCACAGTGAAGGGGCCACCAACTGCAGCCAGAAGGCCCTCGGTTGCCCAGAAGAGTCAGCTCCCAATGTGGCCCATTTCATATTCTACCTCTGGGCCTATGTCACTGTTGGAAAGCTTCTGGAGGCACGCTTCCAAGCCCATGACACTATCACTCATTGCCTGTTGGCTGCCAAACTCTTCAACCTGTCCCTTGAATACAATTTTGTCACACCTCAGATTTCACTGGTCATGGTGTAGCCCAAGGAGAACAGTCAGGAGGTCAGGGTACAGACCTTCACCACAGCTGTGCAATCATGGACCATCATGCCCTCACCCAGCAGCAGACATGTCTAGGAGCAGGCACACCTCAACGAGCCTTGGTACCCAAGGTCTCTCCAAAATCAAGGCCTGCAAACCCAAATTTCTATTTATCCTCCACTACTACTGCTTCCACCAAGAAGATGCCCAGTTCCAAGGAGTTGGAGTCAATGGGCCAGAGCCCTAGTACCCTACCAACCTCCCCAAACCCAAACCAGCAGCCCAACTGGATTCTAGCACCTTGGCCCAGCTCACTCTCTGGACAAAATCCTCTGTCCTTACACCCTCAAATTCTGGTGTTCTATTGCCTCCCAATCCCAGAACTCTATCATGCCCAAATCCTGGCATCATATTACCCATGAATTCCAAGATGTAATTCCCACCTCTGAATCCTGGCACCCATGCCCAGCCCAAAGGTGACAATATGAAACATGTTACTCCCCTCTATTTCAAACCCAGTGCTCCATCACACCCCCACCTTGGGGTAGGCACTACACAGTCTCCCAAAAGCTTACCCTAGCCCATACCTTGCGGCTCCACACTTCAGATCCCCAAGCTCCCATGATGCACTAGACCTAGGGTTCCTGCTTCCCAAACTGCAGATCATCTGTAGCACCACAGCCTTGGGTTCCTCTTGCCCAAGACCCAAAATCCCATCACCTCTCAAACTTGGTGCCCCACTGTATGAAAATTCCACAAGCTTATTACTCTCCAGGCCTGTACACCCCAAACTCTGCTTCCCCCTAAAACTGCTAGACCCACGCTCCCATATCCTTAGAGCCTAAGCACATTCCTTAATACTGTCCCCAGTCACACAGGTCTCAGCAGTACTGTGACCACCACCATCCTTGGAGAACCCCTTTCTACCCCATTTATTCCCACCTTGTCCACTGGAGGACTCCGGCATCAGCATGATCTGCTGCTGAGGCCTCAGGACACCAGGCAAGTTCTGGGTTTATCTGGGCCAGGAGTCACAAGAATGGGCCTACCCAATATCTACAGGCCTATGCTAGAAGGTAGCCCTCCAAACCTTTGAATCTTACTGCCTTCTAGCACATTCTCTGAGGCCATCATTCTGTTCCTTCTCTCTAAGTATCTAAAGCTGCCATCTGAGTCAATGGTGGAGTACAAGTTAGTGGAGTCCTTGAATCCACCAGCTTTCTATACCATCTTCACTTCTGATGAACATGGCAAATGCCACAGATAAGAAATCAAGCCATGAGGGGGAGGTATGGATGGACAGCACCAGGAGCTGGGAGTCTAAAATTCTTATGTAGACTCCAGTGATAGGACAGCTGTTTGTTTGCTTGTTCTGACACTTTGGGCCAGTTATTTTATTTCTCTACGCTTCAGTACATAGGCACAGAATTAGAGGCCTTGGGAAAGGAGTGTTGGTGTTCCCCAGAGCCCTCTGTTCATTGATGCAGAGAAAGGAAATCGCAGACGGAATGATTGGCATCAAGGGAAGTCGAGGCTCAATATGGCATAACAACCCTTCCCAACTTTACTGATTATCTTATATACTCTCGAACATTCAGTAAGAATTCAATGCAGGTAAAAAGAAGAAACTGCCATTAAGATTACAATTCAGAACGATCTTGCTGCTGAACACATATACAATCAATTTGTTAATACATAAGGGAGCCAGGTTGTCTGCTCTTGTTAGCCCATTTCCCCTAATCTGAAACGAGTGATTATAATGTTAATGAGGGGAGAGGAGCAGAGCACAGCCCAGTGCCTCCACAGGCTTCCAGCTGCTTCCAGCTGCGACCCAGGCCTGGCCCTCTGGTTTATCCTCTTGTGAGAACTGAGAACGTTTCTGCATTTCTGCAGGCCTAGGCAAGTCCTCAGAGAAAAAGAATTCCATCTTAGAGCCATTTTCCGTGGGGAGCACATGAAGCTAAACTACCATGTCTTAGCGTGGGGTACTGCACCCCTACAAAGGAGGGATGTTAAGACCAGGATTTGACATTTATTTTTGTTGGACAAGAGAATTGATGATGCTTCCCAAGCAGGAGTATAAATTAGAGCATTAGTAGGAAAGCCAGGTCTGCATGGTATTTCTGTGCTCTGTGAACATCCCTGCTTAATGAGAGAGGTAGAAAAATTGGGGAAGGTAATGAAGATGATATTTTTTGTTTGTTTGTTTTTATTTTTTATTAAGTCATAGCTGTGTACATTAATGCAATCATGGGAGGACAATGTGCTGGTTTTACAAACAATTGAAATATTTTCATCTAACTGGTTAACATAGCCTTCACGGTATTTTCTTAGTTATTGTGTTAAGACATTTATATTCTACATGTAGTAAATTTCACATGTACCCTTGTAAGATGCACCATAGGCGTGGTCCCAACAATTATCCTCCCTCCACTCATCCTTCCCTCTCCCCTCCCCTCCTTCTCCCCTTTCCCCATATTCTTGGGCTATAATTGGGTTATAGCTTTCATATGAAAGCTATAAACTTGGTTTCTTAGTAGGGCTGAGTACATTGGATACTTTTCTTCCATTCTTGAGATACTTTGCTAAGAAGAATATGTTCCAGCTCCATCCATGTAAACATGAAAGAAGTAAAGTCTCCATCTTTTTAAGGCTGCATAATATACAGTGTGGTATATGTGGTGTACATACACCACAATTTATTAATCCATTCGTGGGTCAATGGGCACTTGGGCTTCTTCTATGACTTAGCAATTATGAATTGGGCTGCAATAAACATTCTGGTACAAATATCTTTGTTGTAATGTGATTTTTGTTCTTCTGGATATATATGTAGTAGAAGAATTGTAGGATCAAATGGCAGGTCTATTTTTAGATCTCTAAGTGTTCTCCAAATATCTTTCCAAAAGAGTATTGGTTTGCATTTCCACCAGCAGTGTAGAAGTGTTCCCTTTTCTCCACATCCATGCCAACATCTCTGGTTTTGGGATTTTGTGATGTGGGCTAATCTTACTGGAGTTAGGTGGTATCTCAAAGTAGTTTTGATTTGCATTTCTCTGATGATTAAGGATGATGAACATTTTTTTCATATGTCTGTAGGCTGTGCACCTGTCTTCTTCAGAGAAGCTTCTCTTCAAGTTCCTTGCCCACCCTGAGATGGGATCACTTTTTCTTTTCTTGCTAATACATTTTCATTCTATGTGGATTCTGGTTATTAAATCTTTGTCGGAGACACAACCTGCAAATATTTCCTCCCATTCTGAGGGCTGTCTGCTTGCCTTACTTAATGTGTTCTTGGCTGTGCAGATGCTTTTGAGTTGTATCAGGTCCCAGTAATGTATTCTTGGTGTTGCTTCAATTGCCCAGGGGGTCTTCCTCATAAAATATTTGCCCAGGCCGATTTCTTCAAGTGTTTTCCCTACA